TTTTACTCATTTTTCTCCAAATTACTTTCAATTTTATCCTCCTTCAATTTTACTTCTTTTTTTACTCTAAGTTAAAATTAAAAATTAAAAAATTAAGAAATTATATTTATAAATAAATCTTAAATTACATAAAAATTAAATTTAGGGTGTTATTGCCAAGCGTTGTTGTGTCTTAATGTTTGATTTCCTGATTTCTTGGTCACTTTGCTGATACGATTATAAAATGAATTTGGTTACTTTCTATATGCAGAACAACGGAGCATTAGTAACTTTTTTCTTCTGACTGATATTTTGTCCATTAAATGTCTGTTCCAGTGTGCTATTCATTTGAGATGTCTTAGCTAATATTCTTAGTCAAGTACAGTCTTTCATTATATTTTTCCTACCTAATTATACTGTACGTGCTTTCTTGCTCTCTCTCAAACATATATGTAAACTGCGCAAGTCTATATCCTATATTTTCTCATTGCTTCACTGTGAAATTTTGCAAAATAATGGAGCTTGATTGATATCTTTGATTATCTTAGTATTGCCTCTTAGTCTTCTTTTTTCTACTTTACTTCCTTTTGAAGGCCTCATTGGAGGTAAGGAAATTCTGTTTCACAGATTCTAAGGGGATTAAAACTTCAAAAAATAAAAAGAAGAATCGGAGAAGGAGAGATCAACAGAAGAATGGTTCTCCAAATGAAGCAAATGAAACACATAAGAAGGTTGCCATCATTTTTGTTTTCTTTTTAGTGTTTGGTATTGGTCCAGTTACCGGGTGTTTTTCACTTGGCTAGGAGGAAAACTGTATCACTTCTTCATGTCATACTGCTGAGGATGGTAATAAAATTCGGTCCAGTTTGGGTGAGGAGTCAAATTTACCTGATATGGAAGATGACATTTTTGCACATGGTGATATTGATGATGAGATAGATCCAGCTCTGAAAGAAGAGATTGATAGGTAAGCCTGTTGGTGGATTGTTGGAATTTTCTTTTTAAAGAATCTTCATAAACTCTTGTTTTGGTGCTTTTTTACTATTTTCAGAAAATCCGGTGTCAAAAGAAAGGCTGTAATTGTCTATATTGTTGCTTTCTCTGAATGCTAATTATATTATGGGGGTAAAACAGTGATTTGATGCATGATTTTTTTGAAAATTTTTTTTTGCACCTCTTATATATGTATTGTTATGTGTCAATTTGGAAAGGAAGTCAAATAGGAAACAATGAATTAGGAAACATAAATTCCTACAGAGAGAAATTAGGGAAGCAACTGAGATAACAGAAGTAGTTTAAGCAGTTGACTAAATACTTGTCTTCAGTAGTGTAAAGGCATCGAGAAATGAAATTCTGTTTACCTGGATTTCTCACTCTCTGCGATTCTCCCTCCTTTTTTCTATCTTTCTCTGCAACAATTCTAAGATTGAATGGTCGGCACAGTCCACAAAACTTTCTCACATCACATATACATCTTATTCCCTCTTATGCTATCTTCAATTCAGAGAGGTGGAAGATTTTGCGCGGAGATTGAATTCCGACTGGATCTCATCTTTGGGTCAAGAAAGGAGGCCGGTACATTTTTCAATCAATGGCAATGGTACTGCTAGAAGACATGCAAGTATGTTAACTGTTCTTTTATATTACAAGCTTATCTACAGCAGTATTTATTTTTAAGTTCTCTCTGTGGAACACAAAGCCTCGGTGCATATTAACTGCTTGTGTTTTGTAATAATAGTATAATTAGATTGTGCTAATGCTAGTTAGTGTTCTTTTTATTGTTTTAGATAGTGAAAAATATATAACTTTGTTGAAAATGTTTTAATCTTTTATGGGAGAGGTTGATCAGGTTGGCTCTATAGCATGCACCTGGAAGTCGTCTGTTTGTAGTGCCTGCATCCCAGTTCAGAATCACATTTAGTGATGCATGCTAAATTCAATGCACTTGATTTACATCTGAATTTCCTCTTTGGTTAATTGTATATATCATGCTAAGTTATTTCTGACCTGAATAATTCATGGTCCGGAAATTATTTTATTTAAGAAGTGTTTAATCTGATATTTTCTAGTTATCAGAGCTGCCCTCAGCAGTTCTGTAAAATTTGTAAATCTCGCCTTAATTTTGTGAGTTTTTACCCTTGAATCCTTCTTGTAGACATGGATTTGATGGCAAAGTGCCATGGCAATAAAATTAATGACTTGATTTACCAACTAGAACCAGGAGGATTAACTTGCTTTGGACTCATTTGAGCAATCACCATCAAATTCAACATAACTAACAAGATTAATTTGTTTTCACGGTAATGATCCAGATCCAGAGCACTGATAAATTATACAATGAGGATGCTTCTTTTCTTGGCCAGTGGCTGCAACAATTTTGATCAGACCTTGCTCAAAATGCAAGAGTGTTGGATGTCTAGAAGATCTGGGATTCTCACTTATGTGTATCCTAATGTAAGGCTTTTCTTCATTTTTCCCCTTTTCGTTTTTAAGGTTTTGCACAGCTAGGAAGCAATTTTGATTATGGGGGCAAGCCTTGTACCTTGACATGGAAGAAATAAGGAATTGTATTTTTGTGGGCCAATTATGCTCATTCTTTTCATAGGCTTTAAAGGTTTGCAATTTAGTAATCCCTGCCCTGGAAGAGAGAGGAAATGTTGAGGAAGGAACATCCCTTTTGAAGTCCTGTTTAGCAATAATTTTGGTTTTTTTCTAATTTGTATGTTCATTGGTTTCAGGAGTTTCATATTTATAGAAATTCTTTGGGCAGTTCTTAGTCTATTTGAGATCTCCCCCATTACCTTTAGTTGCAATGTAATTTTGTTTATGAAAAGCTGGGTGGAGGTTCCGGTCATGATATTTTGGAACATCTGCAGTTTGAATGAGAAATTTTTCATCCTTTAATGTCTATGATGGCGGTTAGTGCTGCTTTAGAAATTATATGGGTGGGATCTCTCACGTCTTGCTAACAAAGTTCCAATTTTGTTTTGGTTTGTAATTGATGATGGTCCTGTAAAAGCATTTCAGGTGGTGGAACATCTACTCTTACCAAAAGCTGCTTTTTTGGAGGAACTAGGCTAGAATACTGTATAAACTAAAGATGCCGTTCTTTTTTATGTTGTATTATTAAACGTCCTTTTTGTTCGTGTATTTTTTTATTCACAAAGTGGTGGCAAATATACATACGACATTGTGTTTGCATCCATGCAGTGTGCTCTGAATTGGTATTCCCAATAAATGCAGCACATATTACGCGTCAGTATGTGGTCCTACATACCAAGTCCAGTGCTCTTTGCCCCAACCACTTTAGCTCTGGAAATGTTGGTTTTCCCTTGCACAATTTATGATGGTTGTTTTGTAATAAATGCTAATTTTAGCATATGAAGGTCCTGTTCGGTTTGCTACTTTGTGGCCTGGAAGGTGCAGAGGGTACCAACTCACATTTGATGTTATACAAGCATATGTTTAGTTGTTTGTGGTTAAAGGCTTCTAAATTCGATTTACATCTACCGCACAGTATGGAAAGCAGATAGCTCTTACTTCGTCAGCCACAAAATAACATAGGAAGCATATACACTTGAGAACGTACGATTCACCTGAAGAACTTGTCAGTTGTAAGGCAGCTGTCTTAAAATGTATTTTTTTGTTGGAAAAGTTAACAGCTTAGACAGGAGAAAAGCAGAATATAACATTCATTTACAGCTAAGTCAATGATCTGTTATTTATTAACCAGTTTTGCGATAGTGGGAAACGTTATGATCTGCATTTAGACCGTTTTTTTTATATTATTAGATTAAATGAAAAAAATCAGTCTTCAAAATTAAAATATTCTTCTCTTACATTCTCACACTCAGAAGCATCGTGGCATTTACTCGTTTACCCTGCAAATTGTGGAAGGGTAAGGTGATTTGATTTTAAAAGTTTAAAATGAACCCTTTAAAGAGATTAAAGCAACCTTGATACTAATTCTTAGCAGCACGGACACTCATAGGCAAGCATGTCCAAAACTTAAAAAGGTACTTCCATTTAAGAAGGAAAAGAAAAAAAAAAACAGGTCAGAAGCATAATGCATTGCGGTTCAGTGATTTTAACAAACTTCTTTTTGTCAATATCTAAAAACTGTCATGAAGAAAGTGGGTTACTATTAGATGCTCTTTTACAATTCGAACTTTCTGAGTTTATCGACCACTAAAAGATTTTAGATAGTCATAATATTACAGTGAGGTTTTCATCCATGGGTTATATGTATATTCATTGCGGAGATTGAAGCTCCAAATGTGGGCAGGGTCTCTCTGGTTCTCCTCTTGTCCACAAAATTCGGAGGTCTCCTCTCTTCTTTCCCAGAGTCAAAAAGGTCCCTGCAACAGTGACATACTTGTAAGTAGAGCAACAAAACGCAACTGCTACCAAAATGTCAATATCTTTTTTATAGATTCACAAATTGTATATCAATCAAATATAAGAATCTGTATAACTTCTTTAGCTGTTATGCAACTCTATATAGAATTGTGATAGGATCCAACAATTCTAAAGTTAGATACAAGGCTCCACATAATAGTATGGCCTCAAATGGCCAGAGTCAGAAGTGTTTTTTTTAAATAAAAAAAATGGCCGGAGTTAGAAGTGTTATTGAGAAAAAAATCAAGACTGGTGATATTTTGTTGCTGCAGTATGTATGAACATCGGATGTAAAGTACACGCATGCAGCTGTAACTTACCAAGGGTAAATGGAACAATGTACAGCAAAGCCGGTTGACCATGCCCATCCATCATGTTGAGGGCCACATACGTTATGAGGAGACCTGCAATCCAAGCATTAACATATCATCCATAAGCAAGAAGAAGACACTGGGCTTGAATCTATATCTTTACTCGTAGCCCATCAACTAAGCGCCCATTTAAGTTTGTGGTACTAGCATGGCAATATAATCAATCAAGTGCAAGATTTAGCTACTTGGTCTCAGCTTCATCCTACGCATAATAGGCATAAATAACTTCTGCCTTGTTTATCGCATTTCTAATTGTGCACTTGGTCTCTAATCTAGACAACTCACTTCTATCATTCATTATAACCTCCTCAAATGTATATATAATTCAACAGTTTAGAATTATCAGCCTTATTTATAGCCTGTTATTGCGAAGGATCCTATCAGCATGTTCGTCAGAAAACACATCTGCTGCAGAAGGCCTGACAATCTTCCACCATGAACAACGAAATCTAAAGTATCCGGGTTTAGCAGTTTTGTACCTAGACCATAGGCAGTCATTGCCCACACAAAGTATCCTGCTCGAAGACTTTTCTTTGCCAGCCAATCATACCTGCAAAATGACCCACATAATTTGGTTTCTGGTTCAAGGACCTGATAAACAATTACCAAACTGACCCACCAACCCTGCCTCAACCAGATGCCGACGAGTAGTATAATGACATCATTAATTCACATTGTGTGCAGGTCTGAAGCTCAAACCTCAATGAAAATGCCACAAGCAGTCCTGGTAAGATAATGTCACCAAACCCTATGATACTGTAGCCACCCCAGGGATCAAACATCCGTGGGATCTTCAGTAGCATTGGAATTCCATCTTCACCACTTCTGTCACCACGAGCTACCTGAAAGAAAAAAGAAGGAAACAGGAGCATATTCATTTCTTTTATTGGGGTTGGCTCATCATCCTCACCGACAGATTATGATGAGGGAAAATGGTTTTACACAGCTACTCACCACTATCATCACACTCTCATGGAACCACCATTTAGAAACAAATACCCAGAAGATGTCATACAAGAAGGCACAACTGAGGAGAACCGTCCCAACCTGATAACATAAAGATTTTTAATAGATTTATCAGCACTGAAAGGCTTTCAATCCCAACAGGAAACATTCAGCTCTATAGTTTTGTACAGTTAATCATTTAAAAGTCCGAAATACAAGGCTGTTTTGATTTTAGTCTATCTTACAGAAGATGTCTGAAAAATATAACCTTTTTCAAGACTGAATTGTCAAGGCCAAGATGCAGAAATTGAAAATTTTAAGATATTTACAGTTTTTGAAGTAATAATTACATCAGAGAGCAGAACAATAAGGAGAAGGTACAAAAGTCCGGAGTATTTTAGGATATTTTTTTGATCTTTAACCAAAAACCAAGTTTTTTAAATTACCTTGAGATTTGGCACACGAACAATCTGAAGAACTGTGATTATCAGCGAAATGCCCTGATTGAAAAGACAAATTTTTTAAGTTGAAATTAATTGGTTAGAAACTTCCATTTAAATGTTAGTAACCACAAATAAGAAAAAATTAAAAGTAAAATAAGACAAAAGTGCCTGTAAGGTCAAATATCCATGCAAACACGCATTCATAGAACATCGAAAAAAGAAAGTAGCTTGGAAGCAATGTCAAGGATAGGGACTTCAACAAAGGTACATGTGTCTAAGTGTATGCTTGCAGGTATAGGGTGGTGACACTCATTGTGATATTTCTGTCAACAGTAGGATTTTGATAGGATAGTCTGACCTTTAACTGGCTGAGAGTCATTTTGGCAAATATTTTTTATGCTCAATTATAAGCTAGAAGAACATGTAACCACAGCATGGGAAAATATGAGCAACAATGAACCTAAGGACAAAGTCAAGTTGCTGGCTGGGAGTCTATTCCTACTTCAGAAATTCCTAATTCATTAGTAGCTTTTTTCTAAAACAAGAACAAAAAATGAATTCATGGGATAATTTTTTTTTTCTCGTACATCATTTGTCAACAAATTGGCACCGCATCAATCTAAGCATGCTTTATTCACTGTTCACTGAATTAAGCAGAATTATTTTAACACATACTATGAACTGTGTATCTGTTATCAAGAAAAATTGATTAACTTTGGGAAGGGTGGGGAGTTTCAGAAAGATAATCTGTCTAGAAAGGAGAAGCAACAATGAAATGGCATGGATATAGTGGGGAAAATGAACCCTACTGAAACTTAGAATAAGTAGCTAATATAAATGAGAGCTAACAAAAACAAGATAAGCTAAGAAAACAACACAAATGTGGCTTACAAGGATATCTTGACCTATCCAAGCAAAAGAGATCTGACGAAACACTGCCCAGATAACAGAAAATGCTATGCAGAAGGGACAAACAGCCAATGTCAGATAGGAGACAGCTCCAAAGAAGGGTACTTTCACAAATGATTCTGCAGCATTCTGGAAGCATCTGAAACTATATCCGGTTACTTGTCAGTTCCAATCTCTGTAATCTATTGATAAAAGAACCTCAGTAAAAAGAATAAAGAGAAGGCTGAGAATATGTTTCAACATATCTTGGACCTTTGCATACTCCAAATATTGGAAATAGTTAGGTTTGGAGATAACTCATCGGCAATACACATTATATAACTATATAAGGGAAACAGGACAGAGAATACATTTCCAAGGAGTATAGCCATTGCAAACTGATGTCAACTCCCACCAATGTCAAAAAAAATAAAAAATAAAAAACAGGACACAACCATATTTCCTTTTTCCTTAAGAGAGAAAAATTTGGTGGCCCCAACAAATTGATTCTATCATGGAGAAAGGAAAATACATATAAAAAAGTCAACAGGAGAATCAAAATGCTTACCATGACAGCAAAGCCACCAAACAAGTTTGCAATCCCTGTAAGTGCAAAAGATTACGAGGTTCAGCTTTGACCACAATGATGACAGAATGAGGCAGTTCAACTTAGTAGCTTCATGCATTAATTTTAGGCTCACTTGTTTCAGTCAACTGAGAATATAATTCAAGATATACCCTTTAGGGATTTTGGCCTAAAAGTAAGAGACTAGCATACAGGGCAGACTGATATATTCAGTGTCATGTTATGCT